CCTGGCCAGCCCCCCACACCCTATGGGCACCCTTTCAACAACTCCACTCCATCTGGAACTATTTCCTACGTTACTGTGTCTTTCTCAGGTTTTTGAAAACTGGCCCTGTTTTGCTTTGAAGGCTGGAGCTCTGGTTGTGTTCTGTGCACAGGACACACAGCTCAGCCCCTCCCCGGCCTGCCCCTGGGCCTGGGCCCACAGCTGCTGCTCCGCTGTCGCCTGCCTCCCAGCAGGTACCTCCAATACCGATGCCTGGTGCCCCACGGGAGGCTGGCACAGAGCCGGCTAGACCGCAGGCCAGTGGTTTGAAAGCGGGGAGCTTGTTTCAGAGGCAGGTTCCTGGGCCCAGCCCGCAGACTCGGATGGAGCAGGTCTCCGTGGGCGCCACTCTGACAGGAAACAATCCGGGACCACGCCCTGGGAAATGGGTCTGAGTGGTCAAAGGCATGAGCTCCAGAGCCAGACAGGCTGGTTCCCAGGGCCACGTGACCTCCTGCGAGTGACCGGACCTCCCTGTGAGAAGGAAAGGGTTGGTGGTGAGGGTTGGATTCGTTCATTCTCGCAAAGGGCTTAGTGCAGGGCCCGGAATAGCTAGTTGTTAGAGATAATGAATATCAAACGTATTTCCCTTGGTCAAGTGTTTGTAAGTTCTAAAAACCCCTTCCTCGGATTGATAATATAAGGAAGTTAGCACAGTAGGGAACTGCTTCACAAAACGGAGCTATGATTATTGTTCTTGTTTTTAATAAGACATAGGCCCCCCCTGAGAGCAGCTTACATTGGGGGAGCTTAGAGAGTGGGCTGGTGTTTGGGTAGAAAAACCGTGTTTGAGGTTTTGGTGTTTGACCCAGGTCCAAAGCGAACAATAGGAAACGTAAGATGGTAAAATATATTCTCAACTTTCTTGACTTCTTTTCTTCACCGAAATGCTGCTCCTTTTGCTACTCCGGTGCTCAAAGCCCTTCTGGCAGAGAATGAGTGAGAGCAGTGGAACTCGGAGAGAAACCGTCTGTGGCTTCTGTGCGAGGTGAAGTAGAGGAAGAGGAATCAGAGTGCGCAGCTGAGTGCGGTTTTCCGTCCTGGTTCCGTTTCGTTTGGGTTCATGGTTGCACGTGGGGCAGAAGACCCAGTGAGCAGGTTCTGTGAGGATCGCTGGCCTGACCGTCTTTCCCGCTCATTCTCCATGTGACCTTGGTAACATTTTCGGGCAGCAGAGAAGGGGAGAGATCTGACCTTGGCGGGTGCCCTGCGCTGCAGTGTAAAGGGCCCAGCTAAGTAGAATGTGGCCACATGCAGGCGGCCGATGGTTTCCCGAGGCCTCCCCTGGGGGCTTTTCCATGCGCGGGGATTAGGAAAACCTGCACCAGGATAACCAATCATGCTGACCAGATCCACAAGACCTTGCTGGCGAAACCACACAGGCATTTTTTTTTGTTCATTTTTTCACTCATCCTTATGTATTTCCTTTTTTTAAAAAAATTGAGCTATAATTTACATGAAGTACACACATGTTTGATACATTTTAAATGTGTAAACACCTGTGGATCCCCTCTCCTCCCCTACACCCCTCCATACACAGAATAAGATACAGAAGAGTTTTCACACCCAAGAAGGCTTCCTGTGCAGCAAAGAGAACCACTAGTCTTGGTCATGTAGGACTACTCAAAGGAAAGAGAGGTGCAGGGTGTCCGGGAAGCAGGAGGTTATGGGAGGGCCTAAATCCGAGGAGTGGGGGTGGGCTGGAGAGCCAGGCCCTGGAGACGCCAGCAGCGGGTGGAGGCCCCGTGTGGGCTGATGCTGGAACCCGTCTGCCGGATTCAGGGCTGCCCCGAGCACAGCCTGGCTCCACATGGACAGGCGTGCCCTCGGGCTGCCAAACAGGCGGGAAGCCCCGCCTTTGTCCAAACACAACTGTGAAGGTTCCCACTCACCGGATTCCACTCCCGTTCCAGCCCAGCGTCCCTGCAGCTTTCCCCAGGTCACCTCTGCTCTGCGAGCTCCTGACCCTTCTGGTTACACATTTACAGCCTGTGGTTTGCGCTCGCACAGGACTGCTCTCCCGGGAGCGGCCCGGGAGCTTAACTCTCGGTGCAACTTCCTCCTGCCGCCAGTTCCCGGGGGTCTGCTGCCCCCGTCTGCGAGCTGCATTAACAGGGCACATGCCTGGGGTGGCGGGATCATTTGTGTGGTTTCTACTCTGTGCTGTGCTCTGTGCATATGTTGTCTTACTGAATGTTCCCTACGGCCCTTCAGGGCAGGTATAATTAATCACCCCCACTTTCAGATGAGGGATCTGAGACTCAGAGAGATGAAGCCAATCGCCTCAGGGCAGGAGCTCGTCACTGGCAGGAGTGGGAATCCAGGCGGGTGGGTCTGATCGGTGGGTCCCTGGACCCCTCGCGAAGCCGCACAGCCACTCAGCTGCGTGTCTGCCAGCCAGGCTCGGCCGCTGCGCGGTCAGGCCTTGGCCGCTGAGTAATGAAGTCTGACAACTCCCCTCCAGGCTGCTTTGCACAAGGAGCTGCCTGATGTGGGAAACTTGCTGGGAAAACAGTGGCGCTTTCAGGGTCGGGTCGCAGCCTCCTCGCTCAGGGTGTCAGGTCACCGAGTTCTATTCTGGGTTAAATATCAGGCGCTGGGACTCCTTTGAGCCTCGTTCTTGACGAAAGGACCCGGGGCGCTTTCCCTGGGGAAAGCCGGGCGCTGTCTGTTCTCGCTTTTTTCTCAGGCCAAGTGCGCACAGGAGCCCAGGGCCAAAGCCAGGGCCTCGAATCCCTCTTCCTTGGCCGGTGGGGGACAGGAGAGAGTTGTCCTCTCCCACACGAGGGGAGAGCTGTTCCGGCTGGGAGACGTTTCCTCCCCAAGCATGATGACCGAGGGGAGGGCTGGGCATGGGCCCAGGCCCTGCCTAGGCCTGTCAGTCACTCGCCAGCTATTGTTGGATTCAATCGGATTAGAATAATCGAATGAACACTGGACTGGGAGGGATATTTCTCTCTGGTAAACAACCTGTGTGTGTGTCCTTTGATACCCTCAGGGTATCGGGGCATCTGGAAGCTGAAATAGAAAACAGAAAGCTTCTGAGTGGACCCGGTATCAGAGTAAAACGTGGGGGAGGAGGGACAGATAAAATCCCAAGTTCAAAGGGATTTTAGGCAAATGCCTTTCATCTCTTTGGGGCTCTTTGTTTTGCTTTTTAAAAAGTGAAAACACATGTATTGGTTTCCAAGAGCTGCCATAACACATTGTCACAAATCGGGTGGCTTAAAGCAATAGGAATTTATTCTGTCCCGGTTCTGGGGAAAACATCCTCAGGTGAGAATTAATGAAGTCTACGTGCAGGGGTGGGCAGGGGTGCTTCTTCTGAGGGGCAGTGTGGTCTGTGCCTCTCTCTAGGCTCTCATGGCCGGCAGTCCTTGGCTCACAGCTACATCACTCCAACCTCTGTCTTCATCTCCGCATGGCATTCTTCCCTGTGTGTCTGTCTGTGTCCAAATTTCCTTTTCTCATGAGGACACCAGTCCGACAGGATTTAGGGCTGTCCTAATCCACTATGACTCCATTTTAACTAACGACATCTGCCAAGACCCTATTTCTAATTAAGGTCACAATCTGAGGTTCTGTGTGGACGAGAATTTGGGGGGACACTATTCCAGCGAGTATAACACGTTACAAATGATAAAGCCCTTCTTGTTCCTGATGCTACACGGATGCTTCTGACCATGGGCCTAAAGATCATCAGCCGTGAGGACATTATTCTGAGTGAAATAAGCCAGTGACAGACAAATAATGTAGGATTCTACTTATAGGAGGTACCTGGAAGTGGTCCAACTCATAAGGTGAACAGGAGCATGGGGGTTGCCGGGGATGGAGGGAGGGGGAGTGAAGAGTTGCTGTACAAGGGGTGCAGAGTTTGAGCTTTGCAAAATAAGGAGAGTTCTGGAGAATGATTGTACAACAAGGTGAGCATATGTGGCACCACCGAACTGCACACATAAAAGTGGTTAAGGCGGTAGGTTTGATGTTATGTCTACTTTGCCACAATTAAAAACATATTTGGTCATTCCTGGCCCAGCGTGGAAACCTGATTGCTAAGATTGTTTTGTTTCGGGTGGAGGAAACAGCATTCTGAGTTCATAGACCTTTGGCCACGAGGTTGTGAGTGAGTGTCTGCCTGGGCGTCAGTGTGTGACTGTTCTGTCTTGTTCTTCTCCAACGCCCTAGCTATAACCTGGGCAGTGGTGTGGCATCCATCCTGGTGAACGGCTCCTTCAGCGATGGTCGGTGGCACCGGGTCAAGGCTGTTCGGTGAGTACCTCCCACGGCGCAGGACAGAGCAGAGCCCAGCAGCGGTGGGACGTGCTCTCCGAGTCCCTTTAGTCCCATGTCCTCTTCCTCAGCCTTGCCTGGCCTCCCATGCTCCTCATCCAGGGTATTTTGCTACCAACTCCCACCTGTGCCCTCCACTGACAGTGAACTCCCAAAGCTTCACTCACCAGCGGCTTTCTGGAGAAATTATTTATATATTTATGTTAATCCTCACCTGAAAATATTTTTTCCCGTTGGTTTTTAGAGAGGGTAGAAGGGAGAGAAAGGGGGAGGAAGAGAGAGACAGAAAGAGAGAGAGAAACATCGATGTAAGAGAGACACATGGGTTGGTTGCCTCTCTGCACGGCCCCAACTGGTGACCGGGGATTGAACCTGCAACCCAGGTACGTGCCTTTGGCCCTAATCAAACCCGTGAACCTTGGGTGCACTGGCCAACACTCTATCCACTGATCCACACTGGCCAGGGCTGGAGAAATAACTTTTTGATGGCTACCTGGAAGAGGGCCTCCTATTTAGTGAGATCTGGGTATCACTACTGGGATGAAATTTGGGGGCATATGGACTTTGAGGAAGGCTCCACATCTCATTATGTAGGCAGTTGCCCGCTTTTTCTTTGACATCACTTCGCCTGAACCTCAAAAGCTCTGTGTATCCTGCCCCTCACAGAAGTCATACCCTGATTATGTCACTCCCTTAAAATTATGGTCTTGCTACCTATGTCCATATTCCTAACAATATATTGAGAAGTCAAATAGCAGGCCCAAATGGAGCAGTGTGAAGAAACCTCAGTCTTGCCATGTTACTGCAGGTTCCAGGAGATGAGCTGAACAGAGGTTTTTATTTGGGTTCCCTGAGAATTTACCACAACCCTTTCTGGGGAGGTTAGTGGGTGAGGTCAAAGGTGAGGCTTGGGAAACATGGGATCACCAAGGTCAGTTTCTTACTCTGCACACATACAGCCTATAGAGGAAGTAGCCTTGCTGGACCCCACTCTCTTTTCCATGGTGCCTGCCTTTGACACCCTAGAGCAGTGGTCGGCACACTCATTAGTCAACAGAGCCAATTATCAACAGTACTTCTTCAAAATAGACTCGCCCAGGCCAAAAACCGACTTCTGCGCATGGGCCATGAAGTTTCAATCGCACTGTACGTGCGCCTGCACGTGGTATTTTGTGGAAGAGCCACACTCAAGGGGCCAAAGAGCCGCATGTGGCTCTCGAGCCGCAGTTTGCCGACCACGGCCCTAGAGCAAGCATGTCAAACTCAGAGACTAGCACGGGCCAAATAAACAAGGCATACGGCCCGCAGGCCCCAAATATGACATGCTTGCCCTAGAGGGGGTGTGAGGACACAGAGGCAGATCTGTGCCCATCAGCTGCCCACATATCAGAGGAAGTCCTGGCGATAGTGATTTTGATGAAGCCCAACTCTTGACTTGTTGAACAAATGATATAAATATTAATATCATCAGAGAGATAAAAGAGGTTATTTTCACAAGAAACAAGAACTGTTTGCTGTAGAAAAGGAACATTACAAGACCAATAAAGAAGTGCAGCCTGGGTCAGTATCCCCTACGAGAGCTATGGACCCAGACAGGCTTTTTGAAGAAGCGCAGGGCTGGATGGTTTGGGGAACCTGCAAAGCCCTTCCACTCCACTGTCCTCGGAGTCACTTTTGGGTGATTCTTTGGGATCTTTCGAAACTTCTAAGCCAGCGGTTCTCAACCTGTGGGTCGCGACCCCTTTGGGGGTTGAACGACCCTTTCACAGGGGTCGCCTAAGACCATCAGAAAACACATATATGATTACATATTGTTTTTGTGATGAATCACTATGCTTTAATTATGTTCAATTTGTAACCATGAAAATACATCCTGCCTATCAGATATTTACATTACGATTCATAACAGTAGCAAAATTACAGTTATGAAGTAGCAACGAAAATAATCTTATGGTTGGGGGTCACCACAACATGAGGAACTGTATTAAAGGGTCGAGGCATTAGGAAGGTTGAGAACCACTGTTCTAAGCCATTCTTTGTCCTTCCCTAGAGTAATCCTCCACCTGTGAAACCTACTTCATGGTTTCCCATTGTGCTCGGAATAACATACAAACTCACCACGTGCTAATTCTTCTCTGGTTCCCTCTCACCTGCAGGATACGTTCTCACGAAGCTCCATGTGCCTTGCACCCTCAGCTCTGGCTTCCTCTCTGTCCACTCAGCTCCCACCTCCAGAATTCTCAGTGCTCAGTCTGCATCAACCCCTTGTCTTCTCTCTCTCTCTTCATAGCGACTTCCTGTTGGCATCTGCTTCCTCCTGCACTTGACCTACCCAGCCTTCAAAACTCATCTCAGGCAGACTCCCTGGGGGAAGCTTTCCCTGACCCTCTCTCCGACTCCTGTCACCCCACAGCGTGCTGGCGGTCTTCCACCGTCTCGCGGTGACACTGAGTTGTCATTTGTAATTTGATTGTTTTGTCTTCCTCAGTAGACCTAAAACTCCTGGGAGCCAGGAATGTGTTTTTTGTTTTGTCTTCTTTTTTTCATCTTTGCAGCTCTATCATTTAGCATAGTGCCTGGTGCAGAGTAGGTCCTTTCCTACATTTTCATTGAAATCAATTGAACAATTGACTGAAACTCCCGAAATGGTGGTGGATTTTTCCAGGGACGGTCAATCGGGAAAGATAACTGTGGATGACTACGGGGCCAGAACAGGCAAATCACCTGGCATGATGAGGCAGCTCAACATCAACGGAGCTCTGTACGTGGGTAAGTGACCTTGGACCAGATCTAAGTTATGCCCTTTGGGTGTTACTCCTCCATTGGCCGTGCTGGGGCTCCTCCAAGGCGTGTGCTTCCCTGGACCAGCCAAATGCTTGGAAATAGGAAGCTCTCCAGAGTCCATTCTCCCTTTTCTGAACTTCTGACTCATGGTGAGGGGGCAGGAAGCACTTAGAGGCCTTTGTGCTTTGGATGGATCCACCAGGAAAACCATGCTTTTCTTGTTATAGAACAGGAATCTGCTAAATATAGCTCCGAGAATTCCCTCCGAGGAAGGAGGATCTGTTTTCCTGGCCCCTTTCAGAAGTAGAATGAGTGGTATTTCTGTAAATAGCTTAGAACCCGATAGCCCACACAGGTAAGTATGCAAAGATGTCTTCCTCCGTATGCTTTCTACACGTGGACTTAATTGAAAGCACTCAACATCCGTGAATTTCTTTCAGCTTAAGACAGTGGTCAGCAAACTGCGGCTCACAAGCCACATTCGGCTCTTTGGCCCCTTGAGTGTGGCTCTTCCTAAGCCTTAGGCGTACCCTAATTAAGTTAATAACAATGTACCTACCTATATAGTTTAAGTTTAAAAAATTTGGCTCTCAGAAGAAATTTAAATCGTTGTACTGTTGATATTTGGTTCTGTTGACTAATGAGTTTGCCAACCACTGGCTTAAGATGACAGCACCTCTAACTACACACTACATTTTGTTGATATTATACAACATTTCGAAATTCACCAGATTTGGTTTGAAGTGGCCAACTGGGTCAGAAATCACACACGATGTAGGTATTTATAGCCTCTGGCTGTGTATCCGATTGAACCAAGTCAACCTGTTCCTTCAAGGATAGTTCTAAAGTAGATGTGATGCACTGAGCCATTCAAGGGACCCACAGTCCTCACGTAACCTGTCAGCCCAGGGACACCTTGGTCAGCAGTCACTCAAGTATCCTAAGGAAACACGGTTCCCTGTGGCTCACCCCGTCTCCCTCTGGCTCCCCGGCAGGTGGAATGAAGGAGATCGCCCTGCACACTAACAGGCAATACCGGCGAGGCCTCGTGGGCTGCATCTCTCATTTCACCCTGTCCACCGATTACCACGTTTCCCTCGTGGAGGACGCCGTGGATGGGAAAAACATCAACACGTGTGGAGCCAAGTAACACCAGCTGGCCTTGCCCAAGGGACGGAGCCTTCTATCCTGAGAATCCCGGGGGCCCTGAGACCCTGCCTGATGCCCCGTGCCATTCACAGAGGCATGGGGGCCAGGTGTGTTTCCTCTCACCCAGGAGAAAGGACACCTGATGAGAGTCTGGACCCAACATAGGAGTCTCCGTGTGGCCTTTCCTGCTGGCACTGCGTGCGGGCCGCCCCCCACGGAATCCTCTGTGTGAGAAGCATCGAACATTGTCTGTTGACTGTGCAGTGGCTGTCAGAGATCACACATGAAGGCAAATTCCGGAGCCCGTCTTCTGTAGTCAATGACTGTGTTGTGATTCATCGTGCAGTGAACTAAGAAGAGAGAGAGAGACCCAAAGGGCAGTATTAAAATATTCCTCTCCTTCCCTGACTCATGACACTTACTGACAGCAGAATGACTGTGTGACCTTGAACCTGGGATTTCTCACCTTGGCCCATGGAATATCAGGATTAACCCCTTCCACTCCCCACTGGCTGGTTCAATGTGCTCTGACTATTCCATGAAAATAAGGAGGAGAAGAGACTAAACATAGAATCATAATGCTGCCCCTCCTTAATGAGAAATCCCTACTTTTTATAATACTAATCTAAAAACAGGCACCCCGATTTTGTAGCTGTCCTTTTGTATGTGTATATTTTTATAGCAGCTGATAGTCCACACAGTATAATTTTGAAACTTTGGGTGGACAACCCTGAATTCTTTGCACAGTTCCTAAAAATTTTCTCCCAAAGGAGACTTGTGGGGGCCCTTCATGGCGCCAGTGGGGTAGGTAACTGGGGGTGGGCAGTCTCTTGGAGAGCTGACTATTCTGTTTTGGTAAATGGTGACGGCTCAAGGAAATGGATCTGAAGCTTCCAAAATAAGCAGATTAAAAGATACATGTGTTCCTGAGGGGGGTCACTGTCATTTTTGTTTTAAGAGGGGAATCTAATCTAATAAAAGACAAACATGCAAATTGACCATACCTTCGCTATGCCTTAAGCCATGCCCACCAGCCAATCAGAGCAACTATGTGCAAATTAACCCAACCAAGATGGCAGCCGGCAGCCATGGAGCTAGAGCGAGCAGGAGGCTTGGTTGCCCCAGTGATGGAGGAAGCCAAGCTTCCCACCTGCTGTGGCTGGCTCTGAGCTCCACTGAAGGCAACAAAGTTTCAATTATAGAAGGTAAATAAATCCCAGAATAAAAAAGAAAAAAAGGAGAGGCTGGGAGCTTCCATCGCCGGGGGGCTTGGCCAGCCTGAAAACGGCCCTCAGCCCCTCACCCAGACTGGCCAGGCACCCCAGTGGGGACCCCCAACCCTAAAGGGGGTGTGACCAGCCTGCAAACACCCATCAGCCCCTCACCCAGGCTGGCCAGGCACCCCAGCAGGACCCCCACCCTGATCCGGGACACCCTTCAGGGCAAACCAGCTGGCCCCCACCTGTGCACCAGGCCTCTATCCTATATAATAAACGGGTAATATGCAAACTGACCCTAACAGCAGAACAACTGGGAATGACTGGTCACTATGACACACACTGACCACCAGGGGGCAGACGCTCAATGCAGGAGCAGCCCCCTGGTGGTCAGTGCGCTCCCACAGGGGGAGCTCTGCTCAGCCACAAGCCAGGCTGACGGCTGCCAGTACAGCGGTGGTGGTGGGAGCCTCTCTCGCCTCCTCAGCAGCGCTAAGGATGTCCGACTGCAGCTTAGGCCTGCTCCCCGCTGGCAAGTGGACATCCCCTGAGGGCTCCCGGGCTGCCAAAGGGATGTCTGATTGCCAGCTTAGGCCCAATCCCCTGGGGAGCGGGCCTAAGCCAGCAGGCGGTCATCCCCCGAGGGGTCCCAGACTGCGAGAGGGCACAGGCCGAGCTGAGGGCCCCCCCCCCCCCCAGTGCACAAATTTTTGTGCACCGGGCCTCTAGTGTCTATAATAAACTTGAATCAAGGAGATGAAGAAGGGTAGAGCTCATTCACTTAGTCATTCATTCATTTGTGCAGGTGTCTGAACCTTGCACAGGCCCATCCAGAAATGGGCACTAAGACAATTAGTGCCCCTAAGGCTGTACTGGGGTGGGGGGTTGGGGCGGAAAAGCAGGAATGCTTCCTTCTGAGCCAACGGCTGTCCCTTTGCCATTCACGCACATGACGATGGAGACAGCTGGCTGGCAGAGTCCCATGACATGACTCGCTAAGGGAAAGGTGAGATGCACGCTGCCCCCAAAGAGCAGGGAAATGTGATCCAATGCACACAAGAGCCTATGTTTAGTCCCAGTCATGACTCACCCTTGTTTGTGAAGCATTCATTCAGCGAAGACTTGGAGCTCTCTGCAGAGCACAGCTTAGGCACATTCAGAATTCTATAAAATGAATAAATAAACCAGAGACATTCACCTCGTGCTTTAACCTCTGCCTCCTGTCTTTGGGCTCCTTTGATGACCAGGATCCTCCCTCCCTCCCAGAGGAATAATGGTAACAACAACAACAATAACAATAATTCATCCTCTCCTACACATGTCTCCTTGTGTGTGCAGTTTGGAGAAAAGCCACGTGGTATGGTAGCAAGTGGGTTTTACGACCTCCCCTCATACCTGTTCCTTGAAGGCAGCTCGGGCCAGTGCTTCCCAAGATGTAAGAGTTGCTTTCATAGCACATTTTGAGTCAGTAGCCTCCAGCCAAAAATATCATCGTGATTTTAGCAAAACATCCCGCTGAGCTGAAGCCAGAAGAGCTGTGTTGTAGATGAGCTATTGTTCCATGAGAGTGTCGTCCAGGGAAGAATGCAGTGACCCAGGGATGCGGGCTGGGGGCGGGGGTGTTGAAGCAGATGAGAATCCTGAAGCACCGACTTGGGTGGGATGCAGGAGGGGCTGAAAGGGAAGGGGTGACAGACACCATGATGGATTCAGGGCAATAGAGATCCTGCTGGTGAGAGGGCTGCAGGGACGGGGACCCAAGAGCAGCTGGTCACATGGGAGGCTCCGGGCAGGAGAACAGGGTAAGAGACAGAACATCCCAAGCCAGGAGGAAGGTTCTGTGACCCCCTCAGTGAACAGAACCCAGGAGATGCGGGATGAGTTGATAGCAGAGGTGGTTGTGAGGATAAAAACTTGTCCTGAAGCTGAGGGATTAGACCCAGGTTCAGAGGCGGGAGAGCTGAGATGGGCTGAACCTGGGTGTGTGGGTCCCCCGTTTTCTCTCTAAGTGCATCTGCTATCTGTATGTACAATAATGCCACATGGCAAACAAACACAGACCCCAGGGGCATACCAGGGTAAGTGTTTATCGCTTACTGCCTGAGTGTTCACCTTGGCAGCTCTGCTGATCTTGGCTGGCTCGACTAGGCGCTTCTTCTGGTCTCGCTGGACTTGGTCCCTGCGTAGCAGTTGGCTAATTTAGGATGGCCTTGCCTGAGACGGCGAGGTGACTTGAGTCAGCTCCATGTGGTTCTCACGCTCCTCCTGGGACCTGTGGGAGCCCGACATGCCCTTCGCATGACGATGGAGGAGGGTAAGGGCACCAGAGGGAAGGTGTAAGGTCCTGCACAGCCAAGGTCTGGAACTGCCACATCCTAGGAGTTTAAGTTCATAAGAGATGAAAATACAGACTCCGCCATCCATCATCACTTGGCAAAGGGCATGGATACAGGGAGGGTGATACAGTCATGTGCTGTTGGGAGAAGGGGTGCAGTAGTCCTTCTGTGGGGACCCTTGGTGGGGGATGGGGGTCTGTGAAGTTCTCCATGATTGGTCCAGCCAGGCCGGTCCAATGGGGCAGCATTTATCCCTCCCCGCCCCCCAATTCCTCTGCTGCCTCCTCGTTCTCATTCTTCCACCTGCCCACCTGCCCACCTGTCCACCTGTCCACCTGTCCTCTGCCACTTGCACTTGGTGATTCCAAGGAGGTGGGATCTGTGCTGGGCTTCCGGGCATCGGCTCTGTGGGGGCGCGTGTTGGAGAAGCTGGCTGGGCTCCTGGCCCTAGAGAAGTTTAAGGAGCAGCCAGGGAGCTCTCAGGTTCACACAGTCCGCGCCCTGCCCAGGAAGGCCCGCGTGAAGGACGGGTTCCTGGAAACCTTTGTCCCACCGGCAGGACCTAAGAGAATTCCCCAGAAGTCCCCTTGTGTTCTGAGCAAGGATGGCTGGGGGGGAGGGGGGGGTGGGGGTAGTGGAGGGGAAGGATTGTTCTTGCTTTTCCTAGTAACACTGACGGCCACACCCCCCTATTTCCTCTGAGCCCAGTCCTGGGGTTCTCTCGGGAAGGTCTGTGGGGCTCCCTCGTCCCCTCGCTGCTGCCCCAGAAGCTGGGAGGCAGTGATGACCGGCCTGCCAGGCACCACTGGGAGCCGCCTGCTCTCCGCCCCCTCGCTCGCCTCTCATTTCCGGAGCCCGTCCTGTTCCAGCCCCGGCTGCTCCAACACAAACAGGCCCTGCTCTCCCTCCAGCAGCCCTGGCCCAGTGACCAGCGCTTCCTTCTGACGGCCGCCCCGCCCTCCGCCCGGCCCTCCCTGAGTGGGAGGAAGGAGCTCGGAAAAGTGCCCGGAGCTGGCGGCCAGATCTCCACTTGGAGGAAACACTGCATTTTTCACCTTTAACCTAGAAAAATATGGTTCTCAGAAAGCTTGTTTTTAGCACTGGGAGTTCCCAGAGGAGGAAGCATGGGGAGCAGGAGGGGCCCGCGGCCTCTCTCAGGCTCCACAGCGAGCCCTGGGCCCAGGAGGCTGCCCCCGGGAGGGGACCCCTGGCCGCCTGGGAGGCCCAGCCCTGGGGACGAAATTCAGGCGAAGGCCCGAGGACAGGGGCTTGGACAAAGCAGCAGCTGCCTCCCATTCCGTCCCTGCTCTAAGCCTGGCCTGCTCTAAGCCTGGCCTGGCCAGGAACACACCGTAGCTGCCCTGGAAGGTGGAGGGGTGGGTGCAGGTGGCCCTGTGACCCTCAGGCCCTCGGCTGAGTGGGGTGTGTGGTGAGCTTATCAAAGGCGGGAGAGGGTCCTGCAGGACTAAGTCCCCCAGCGCTGCCACCCCGAGGAGCCCAGAGAGCA